GCCACTGCTCACCCGACGAGGGGGCCTTGGTAGAATGCCACCCACAAGGCTTGGCGGTTCTCCAACTCCACCAAGACCGTCTTCATCAGTGACGAGGGGCTGGACGATGATGACTGAGTGCCCTTGTGCTGCTTGGTTCTGGTAGCAGAGTGCAGTATGGCTGGATGGAATGTAGGCACTGTAGAAATTGCTGTTATAACCTTCTAACTGTTTATGCTGTAGTGATTGCCGTAACTGTGTGTTAGTAATGCGATTACAGAACGTAATATATATTATTTAACGCAATTAAAATTTCTGGTCTAAATTACAATATAACAAAACCAGCCAGTGTACACATAGTTAGCGCAAATATACAAGTTCAGAAACAAAATTTCTGATGCATCAGAATCATTAACGCGTAAGTTATCAAAGAAGATACATGGACAGGTTTCTGCGACAGTAACCCCTCTTGACGAACTCGTAACTCTGTCTTTCATTGACTAATAGGAGATTGGTGCCGCACTTTCGTAGACCAATGTCGCAGAAGGCACACCCAGCGCAGCCACTGCCTTCACGAATCACACAACCACAACCTGCCAATTAAAAAAAAAAAAAAAAAAAAAGGGAAATTTTCGCGCAACAGTTCAGCCTAGCAGAACGAATCAGATCATTGCCTACCTCATTGGACACACTTTCAATCATACCGAAGAGTTAGTTGTGGGGTGGACAGATGAGCGGCTAGGATTTGTCGCCAACCAACGCAACCTAGTCGCGGAGTCGGAAAGTCACATCCAGGCATGTCTCCCACTATCTTCGCGGAATGCCCTGAGCTCATAACGGAAAACTAACTGGGGAGTCTGTTTGAAGTAAAATTTGACGCGATGGTTTTTTGCGATGGGGGAGGGAGGGGGGGGTGTGAAGGGGCGTATGGGGTGGGGGGAGAGAGGGGGGATGGTTGGATGTGAAAGGATGGAGGAGAGTGGCGATGGCTGCAGTGACTCGTTCTGGACGCACACAGTGCTGCTGGTGCCCCACTCCGCACGCCATGCTGCATAGGCAGCTGCCTCAGACTGTATGCATTGCTGTGTGGCATAAGGGCCATTCACCGTGGGAATGCCATTAGTGCTGCTGTGTGTACTGCATCCGCCATGCTCCCATCATAAGACATCTGGGGGAGTGTATTTCCCCCCATCCTCCCGCCCCCTTCCCCCACCCCTCACCCCCCTACCATCCTCTCCCCCCTCCCTTCCCCTGGTAGGGTGTACATACAGCGACGGAAAGTATTGCCCGGATAATTGCCTTAAAACATTTCTCGTACTGGTTTGGTGCCTTCTTTGTTTAGTTACGAATCAAATTTCGGGGTTGGATGTAAAGTAGTACTGTACTGTATGTGACGGATGCTGGTTTCAGTTTTATAGGGGTCGACTTTTTACCGAGGACGAGATTTCGTCCGCGTGGGTGCATCCGGACAGTTTAGGCCAAGCAGCGTAGTAGATCTATTTCCTAACCTCGCTATTTCTTCTTACTTGCCCTCGCGACTATCTAGTAGTCAGGAGATAGGCTAGGACCGCTGCGATGATTAGGCCGTCACGAAACCGTTAGATGAGGCGCTCTACGCATAGATCATTCCCTTGTTGCGGAGGGGGTAGAGCAATCGTTGAATCGCTAAACAGCTAGCCATAGGGAAGAGTTCGGCCCATCAAGGCGATTGTAGAGTCTACCCGCGGTGACGTGCGTCCTACGATGCCCTCAGCCAGTCACCCTCGCTTAGTGACAGAGAGAGTTCGCCGCGGCATAGTTCGGTCGATTACCCTCGAGGAGGCAGAAATCTCCGCTCACGTGGCGAAAATCGTTGAGAAGCAGCACGGCATCACGTTGCATCCTAAGACATTGCGTAACGCTTTGAATGGGAGCCGACTTGTCGCAATCAAGCATCCCAAGAAGCCGCGACACTCTCGGAAAAACATACGCGATAGGCTGGAATGGGCGCGTGCCCACGCGGACTGGACGGTTGACGACTAGAAGTGAGTTATCTGTGCGGATGAGACCAAGATCGGTCGTCTTGCATCCGACGGACTCTCTTACGCCTGCGTTCACGAAGGGACTGCCCTCCAAAGACACCAAATCAAGCAGACCGTCAAATACGGGGGCGGTTGCTTGATAATTTACGACTGCATATCGTAAAAGGGAGCGGGTTTCATGAGAAAATCATATGGTAGGGTGGACGGACTGCTCTCGCTGAGTATACTGCAGGACGATCTCAACAGTACGCTTGAGCTTTACCAGCTTACACCCTCAAAAACTATCTTCCAGCACGACAACGACCCGAAGCACAAGTCGCGTATCGTACAGGAATGGCTTTGAGAGTAAGATTCAGGGGTGCTAGAGTGGCCGTCTTCCTCACCCGACCTCAACCCAATGGAGCATTTATGGGCTCATCTCAAGAGGCAGCTAGCCAAGCCTTATAAGCCTCCCACTGGTATGCTGGACCTTTGGGAGCGGGTGTAGGAGAAATGGGAGAAGATCCCGGCGGATGTGTGCACCCACATGGTGGAAAGCATGCCCAGGAGGGTGAGGGCGGTGTCTAAGGCGAAAGGGCGGTGGATTAGGTACTAGTTTGGGGTTGATGTAACTTGCTGCTTGCGCCTGGCAATAATTGTCCACATGTACCAAGATTGTTATTTTCTAGTATTTGTTGTAAACATCATTATACTTGTGTGATGTAAGGCATGGGCGTGGAGCCTTACCCCAACCTACATACACTAGGCACACCAGAAGATTAAGTCTTAATGTCCATGACCCCCTAAAATGGCAAAATTCCTCTAAGTCACAAACATGTGGACAATACTTTCCGTCGCTGTAATGCGGCTGCGGGACCGCCCTCTGGGGTTTGACCGCATCACGCACCACGCGCGTGTGACGCAGTGCCTGGGCGCCGTGGGCGGGCAGCCATGGTTCCTAGGCGTGGCGCCGCCATCCCTCGTGCAGGGGGATGGTGGTGATGATGATGATGAGTAAGGGGGGGAGGGGGTGAGGGCGCATGGTGCATTGAGGGCTCTGTCTGGTCCAGGATGCTGGGTGCAGTGATGGTACGAGGTCACATGAGCAGGGAAGGGGAGCAGGGGTGGAGGGGGCATTCTCAGGTGCACTGTGTTGTGCTCGCTCTTGAGCCCTCTCTGCCCCGTTCTCTGCATGCCTCTCCCATCTCCCCTCCCCCACCCCATCGTCCATTCCTCCCGTTTCCTTCCATCCCCCAGCCAACATCCATCTCACGCCCATGGGCCCTCTCCTCCCTCCTGCGGCCACGCATTGCCCCCGCCTCTCTCCCACGCCACTGCTGCAGGGGAGTGCCGCGGGGAGCGGCGGGGCAGCGGTACCGGCCGCCAGAGCCGGGGGCGGTGAGGGTGTTTGTGATGGAGGGCGCGGTGGTGGTGAAGGTGCATGCAGGCACGTGGCACGCGGGGCCGCTCTTCGCCCAGCCCTGCATGGACTTCAACCTCGAGCTCCAAGACACCAACGTGCGCCCCTAGGAGGGGGAGTGGGGGGGGGAGAAGGGAGGAGGAGGAGGGGATGGATGCGGCTGGCGTGTGGCCTTCATTCCATAAGATTCCTGTCTCCCATCCCCTGCCATGTGCTCCCTGCCATCCGTGTGCTCCCCATCCTCTGCATCACGACTCACTCCTCCCCCACCCTCGTGCCGCCAACCCCCCTTTGATCCAAGGTGGTGGACCACACAACACACAACTTTGCTCAGAGCGACGGCGCCGTGTTTGAGATCGAGGATGCGCACTCGTGAGGCGTGAGCCGTTGGGCTACCAGCAGGCCATGTGCATCTGCTGTCGCACGCACATGACGGTGGCTGTTGCAGTACAACGTTGCGCACGTGGATGCGCACTTGAGAGTGCCCACCGCATGTTGTGTGATGTGACGGGACTACAATGTAATGGTCCTAGATTATAATCTTTGCACGTGAGGAGAGGTGAGGTCTTTACACAGAAGATCATCGTCATTGACAACGCAGTCAGTCCGTACAAAAAGGCCCAACTGCACAACTACCCACACGAGAGGAGTGCTCGCATTATTGCTTGGATTCGTCCAAGTTGGTGAGTCCTGGCATGGAGATGATGCACGTACAGGAGGGATAAAGGCAGCCGTGTGCACGCGATGGCTGCTGCCCGTTGAAAGATTGCCGTTGTCATTGTAGTAGCAAGGAGTCTGAGCAAGGATCTACGCAAGAAAGAAGGATTATTAAATTTGGATTAAACCTTCTTAGATATATTTGTAGTTTTGAACTTTTCTGTGTCGCATACAACATTCATTCATGCATGTCCTTTGCTGCGTTCCCATCTCCGAAAAACCAACTCCAAGGCTCCACTCGCACGGGACCGCCGATAGTATATCGTTCACCAGCCTTGTCTTCTCAGCGCACCAGCTCTCAATTCACCCCGTTTTCATCCCGGCCTCTATTCGTCTCGCGCCCTCGTCAATCACCGCATCACCCACCGCCATCCAATCGCTGAATATCGCATGCCATTCTCTCAAACTCGCATGCCATTCACTCAAGCTCGCATTGCCATTCTCTGAAGCTCACATGCCATTCACTCAAGCACGCATGCCATTCTCTCAAAAAGACAAACCATTCTCCCAAGCTTGCATGCCAATATCTCAAGCTTGCATGCGACTCTCTCAAGCTCCCATGCCATTCTCTTATGCTCACATGCCATTCACTCAAGCTCGCATGCCATTCTCTCAAGCTTCATGCCATTCACTCAAGCGCACAAGCCATTCTTCCAAGCTCGCATGCCATTTTCGCAAGCTCAAATGCCATTCTCCAAAGCATGCATGCCATTCTCTCAAGCTCGCATGCCATTCACTCAAGTCTGCATGCCATTCTCTCAAACTCACAGGCCATTGTCCCAAGCTCGCACGCCATTCTCTCAAGCTCGCATGCCATTCTCTCAAGCTCCCATGCCATTTTCTTAAGCTCGCATGTCATTCACTCAACCTCGCATGCCATTCTCTGAGGCTTGCATGCCATTCTCTCAAGCTCGCATGCCATTCAATCGAGCTCGCATGACATTCTCCCAAGCTCGCATGCCATTCTCTCAAGCTCGCATGCGACTCATTCAATCTCGGATGGCTTTCTCCGAAGCTCGCATGCCATTCTCTAAAGCTTGCATGCCATTCACTCAAGCTTGCAAACCATTCTTTCAAGCTGGCATGCCATTCTCTCGAGCTTGTATGCCATGTTCACAAGCTCGCATGCCATACTTTCAAGCTCGCATGCCATTCACTCAAGCTCGCATGCCATTCTCTCAAGCTCGCATGCCATTCTCTCAAGCTTGCAAGCCTTTTCTTGCAAGCTTGCATGCCATTCTCTCATGCTCGCATGCCATTCTCTCAAGCTCGCATGCCATTCTCTCAAGCTCGCATTCCATTCTCTCAAACTCGCATGCCATTCACGTAAGCTCGCATGCCATCGCGTGCCATTCTCTCAAGCTCGCATGCCGTTCCCTTAAGCTCGCATGCCATTCTCTCAAGTTTGAATGCCATTCTCTCAAGCTCGCTTGCCAACCTCTCAAGCTCTCATGCCATTCACAAAGCTTGCATACCACTCAGTCAAGCTCGTATGCCATTCTCTGAAGGTCGCGTGCCATTCTCTTAAGTGCGCATGCCATTCTCTCAAACTCGCATCCCATTCACTCAAGCTCGCATGCCATTCTCTCAAGCTCGCACGCCATCCACTCAAGCTCGCAGGCGATTCTCTCAAGCTCGCATGCCATTCTCTCAAGCTCGCATCCCATTTTCTCAAACATGCATGCCATTCACTCAAGCTTGCATGCCATCGAATGCCGTTCTCTCAAGATCGCATTCAGTTCTCTCAAGCTTGCATGCCATTCACTCATGCTCGTATGACATTCACTCAAGCTCGCTTGCCATTCCCTCAAGCTCACATGCCATTCTCTCATGCTCGCATGCCATTCACTCAAGCTTGCATGCCATTCTCTCAAGCTCGCATGTCATTCACAAAGCTTGCATGCCATTCACTCAAGCTTGCATGCCATTCTCTGAAGCTCGCATGCCATTCTCTCAAATTCGCATCCCATTCACTCAAGATCGCATGCCATTCTCTCAAGATCACATGCCATCGCATGCCATTCTCTCAAGCTCGCATGCCATTCACTCAAGCTCGCATCCCATTCCCTCAAACTTGCATGCCATTCATTCAACCTTGCATGTCATGGCATGCCATTCTCTCAAGCTTGCATCCCATTCCCTCAAGCACACATGCCATTCACTCAAGCTCACATGCCATTCTCTCATACTCACATGCCATTCTCTCAAGCTTGCATGCCATTCACTCAGCTTGCATGCCATTCACTCAAGCTCGGATGCCATTCTCACAAGCTTGCATGCCATTCTCTCAAGCTCGCATGCCATTTTCTCAAGCTCGCATGCCATTCTGCAAAAGCTCGCATGCCATTCTCTCAAGCTCGCATGCCATTCACGCAAGCTCGCATGCCATTCTCTGAAGCTTGCATGCCGATCTCTCAAGCTTGCATGCTATTCACTCAAGTTGGCATTGCATTATCTTATGTTCGCATGCCATTCTCTCAAGCCTGCATGCCATTCACTCAAGTTTGCATGCCATTCTCCCAAGCTCGAATGCCATTCTCTCAAGCTCGCATGCCATTTACTCAAGCTCACATGCCATTCTCTTGAGCTCCCATTCCATTATCCCAAGCTCGCATGCCATACTCTCAAGCTCTCATGCCACTCATTCAAGCTCGCATGCCATTCTTTGAAACTCGCATGCCATTCTCTCAAGCTTGCATGCCATTCACTCAAGCTTGCAAGCCATTCTTTCTAGCTCCAAGGCCATTCTCTCAAGCTCGCGTGCCATGTTCTCAAGCTCGCATGCCATTCTCTCATGCTCACATGCCATTCTACCAAGCTCAACTGGCATCACATGCCATACTCTCAAGCTCGCATGCCATTCTCTCAAGCTGAAATGCCATTTCTCTCAAGCTCGCATGCCATTCTCTCATGATCGCATCCCATTCACACAAGCTTGCATGCCATTTACTCAAGCTCGCATGCCATTGTCTCAAGATCACACGCCATTCTCTCAAGCTTGCATGCCATTTTCTCTCAAGCTTGCATGCCATTTTCTCAAGCTCGCATGCCATACTTTGAAGCTCGCATGCCATTCTCTCAAACTCGCATCCCATTCTTTCAAGCACGCATGCCATTCTCTGAAGCTCGCATGCCATTCTCTCAAACTCGCATGCCATTCACTCAAGCTCGCATTGCCATTCTCTGAAGCTCGCATGCCATTCACTGAAGCTCGCATGCCATTCACTCAAGCTCGCATGCCATTCTCTCAAGCTCGCATGCCACTTATTCAAGCTTGCATGCCATTTCTCTAAAGCTCACATGCCATTCTCTCATGCTCACATGCCATTCACTCAAGCTCGCATTCCATTTCTTCAAGCTCGCATGCCATTCTCTGAAGCTCGCATGCCATTCACTCAAGCTCCCATGCCATTCTCTCAAGCTCGCATGCCACTTATTCAAGCTCGCATGCCATTCTCTGAAGCTCGCATGTCATTCTCTCAAGCTTGCATGCCATTCACTCAAGTTGGCATTCCATAATCTTATGCTCGCATGCCATTCACTCAAGCCTGCATGCCATTTGTTCAAGATCGCATGCTATTCTCTGAACCTCGCATGCCATTCTCTCAAGCTCGCATGCCACTCACTCAAGCTCGCATGTCACTCTCCCAAGCTTGCATGCCTTGTCTTTCAAGCTCGCATGCCATTCTCTCATGCTCGCATGCCATTCTCTCAAGCTCGCACGCCATTCTCTCAAGCTTGCATGTCATTTCTCTCATGCTCACATGCCATTCTCGCATGCTCGCATGCCATTCACTCAAGCTCACATTCCAATTTCTCTAGCTGGCATGCCATTCTCTGAAGCTCGCATGCCATTCACTCAAGCTCGCAAGCCATTCTCCCAAGCTCGCATGTCATCGCATGCCATACTCTAAAGCTCACATGCCATACTCTCAAGCTCACATGCCATTTACTCAAGCTCGCATGCCATTCTCTCGAGCTCGCATGCCATTCTCCCAAGCTCGCATGCCATACTCTCAAGCTCCCATGCAATAAATTCAAGCTCGCATGCCATTCTCTCAAGCTTGCATGCCATTCACTCATGCTTGCAAGCCCTTCTTTCTAGCTTTGAGGCCATTCTCTCAAGCTCGCATGCCATGTTCTCAAGCTCGTATGCCATTGTCTCATGCTCGCATGCCATTCTCTCATGCTCGCATGCCATTCACTCAAGCTCGCATGCCATTTTCTCAAGCTCGCATGCCATTCTCTGAAGGTCGCATGCCATTCTGTCAAACTCGCATCCCATTCACTCATGCTCGCATGCCATTCTCCCAATCTCGGATGCCATTCACTCAAGCTCGCATGTCATTGCATGCCATTATCTCAAGATCGCATGCCTTTCCCTTAAGCTCGCATGCCATTCTCTCATGCTCGCATGCCATTCTCTCAAGCTCGAATGCCATTCTCTCAAGCTCGCATGCCATTCTTGGAAGCTCGGATGCCATTCACAAAGCTTGCATGCCACTCACTCAAGCTTGCATGCCATTTTCTCAAGCTCGCATGCCATTCTCTGAAGCGCGCATGCCATTCTCTCAAACTTGCATCCCCTTCACTCAAGCTAGCATGCCTTTTACTCAAGCTCGCATGCCATTCTCTTAAGGTGCTATTCTCTCAAGCTTGCATGCCATTCTCTCATGCTCGCATGCCATTCACTCAAGCTCGCATGCCATTTTCTCAAGCTCGCATGCCATTCTTTGAAGCTCGCATGCCATTCTCTCAAACTCGCATCCCATTCACTCAAGCTCGCGTGCCATTCTTTGAAGCTCGCATGCCATTCTTTCAAACTCGGATGCCATCCACTCAAGCTCGCATGCCATTGCATGCCATTTACTCAAGCTCGAATGCCATTCTCTCGAGCTCACATTCAATTCTCCCAAGCTCACATGCCATTTTCTCGAGCTCCCATGCCACTCATTCAAGTTCGGATGCCATTCTCCGAAGCTCGCATGCCATTTTCTCAAGCTTGCATGCCATTCAATCAAGCTTGCAAGCCATTCTTTCTACCTCTCAGGCCATTCTCTCAAGCTCGCGTGCCATGTTCTCAAGCTCGCATGCCATTCTCTCATGCTCGCATGCCATTCTACCAAGCTCAACTGGCATCACATGCCATACTCTCAAGCTCGCATGCCATTCTCTCAAGCTGAA